ACACACAGGTTTTCAGGGTTTTTTTTTGGGGGGGGGGGGTTGATACAGAGTTTCTCTGTATAGCTTTAGAACCTGTCCTGGAACTCACTCTGTAGACCAGTCTGTCCTCAAACTCAGAGATCCGCCTGCCCCTGCCTTGAGTTCTGGGATTAAAGACATGGGCCACCACCTCCTGCCTTTGGCATACACTTTTAATTCCAGTACTCATGAGACAGATCTCTGTGAGTTCAAGACCAGTCTGGTCTACATAGTAAATTCCAGACCAGCCAAGGCTACATTAAGCGACCCTGTCTCAAACAAACAAGCCCCAGTTCCTTTGTGAGTCTCGGGGGTCCACCAGTCACTGCCCTGCTCCTCCTGACCTCTCTCCAGGGCCTGCTTCCCAGTGGAACCCCCCCACCAACCTATCTGCTTCTGCTCCCCGCAGGAGTGGCAAGACCTATTCTTACCTGTTTTCATACCCTTCACGGATGCCCATCTACCCCAAATGGATGGGGGCTGACCATGCCGACGACCTCCAGTATGTCTTTGGAAAGCCCTTTGCCACCCCACTGGGCTACCGGGCCCAAGACAGGACTCTCTCCAAGGCCATGATTGCCTACTGGACCAACTTCGCCAGGAGTGGGTAAGATGTGGAACTGAGTCCAGGACCAACGACAGCAAGCTTGAGGACTCCTTTGTCACTGTGGTCCTGTAGGCCTGGGCTCTAGCTCTATCCCTCACTTGGGCAAACTTCTTATCCTCAAGCCATTTTGCACATGGGCCAAAGAGGTGCTAACCCAGCCCCAAGGCCAAGCGCATGCTCACCACGAGTGAGCATCAAACGGTTGGTTCGGATGGCCAACCTGTATGTGTAGAGCTGTCTGTGTCTGCAAGTACAGGTCTACAGTTGTAGCAAGCTTTCCCAGACCTCCAACCCCCAAATCATGACACGGAAACATTATTAGTCATGAATGCCCAGCCTTTTCTTATGCTTGTCCCCCTCGCTAGCTTATATAACTTAATTTAACCCGTTTCTCTTCACCTGTTTTCTCTCAGGACTTTTCACCTTTCATTCTGCATATCCTACTTTTCCTGCTTCCTCCGTGGCTGGCCGGCCCTGGGGGTCTTCCTCTCTCCTTCATTCTCGTTCTCCCTCTCTCCTTCATTCTCTCTCTCTCCTCTCCCCCACCCCAGATTCCTCCTCCTACTTATTCACTCTGCCCACCAGCCTCACCTACCCCTCTACTGCCTAGCTACTGGCTACTCAGCTTTTTTTTTTTTAATTAATTTACTAGTCTGTTTATAGTCTTCTGTCTGCATGTATGCCTGCCTGCCAGAAGAGGGCACCAGATCCCATTGTAGATGGTTGTGAGCCACAATGTGGTTGCTGGGAATTGAACTCAGGACCTCTGGAAGAGCAGCCAGTGCACCTACCCTCTGAGCCATCTCTCCAGGCCTGCTACTTAGCTTTTTAATTAAACCAATCAGGTGTCTTAGGCAGACAAGGTGAAACAGCAGTACGTCTTTACCTATTTAAGCAAATGCAACACACCTTTACATAGTTAAAGTAATGTTCCACAACATAAACAAATGTAACATCTTCACACAGTTAAAGTAGTATTTAACAGCATTCAGTCTCTTTGCAGTGCTTGGTCCCCACTCAGTCTCTCCTCACTCTGCAGGGATCCCAACATGGGCAACTCACCCGTGCCCACACACTGGTACCCTTATACTTTGGAGAATGGCAACTACCTGGACATCACTAAGGCCATAACCAGCACTTCCATGAAGGAGCACCTGAGGGCCAAGTTTCTGAAATTTTGGACTGTGACATTTGAGGTGCTGCCCACAGTGACTGATGACCAGGAAACCCTCCCTCCCCCTGTGGATGATTCCCAGGCTGCCCCTGTGCCCCCTACAGATGACTCTCAGGCTGCCCCTGTGCCCCCAACAGACGACTCCGTGGAGGCTCAGATGCCTGCCATCATTGGCTTCTAATGTCTTGTAAGCCTTGGTACCAGAGTCCTCCTCTTCTCAGCTCTTTCTCAATAAAGCCTCAGCTTTGCCCACCTGACATTTGGTCTTTGTTCCTAAAACAGCTTGGAGGAAGGAGGGACCCTCAGTCAATGGTGACAGGCACTTGGCTCATCCCTGCCAATCCTCGGGCTGTCAAAGGACTTCTATAGCTTAGGAGCAAGCACACAGCACCAGACATGCTGAACATGGGGTGGGGTGGGAGCCTCTTGCAGGCAGGAAGCAGGACCCTGAGATCCTGGAAGATCACTCATCAGGGTCATCCTCCATCCCTGGCCAGCATATGTGACAGAGAGGCAGGGCCATCTTGGGCACAGGCAGCTACAGGAAAGCTGGGACCTGGCTCAGAGGCCTCAGGAATGCTAGTAGGAAGACACACACCACAGCCTTAAGCACTGCACCCTGGTTTTGCTAGTTATGGTGCCAGCAGGGGATGGAACCCTAAGTCTGGGGCAAGGGTATCAAGAGTGTCTCTGTAGGAAAAGTGTTGGCCAGGGTTCCACCTGTCTGTGGGTAATCCTCCTCGCCCCCTCCTCTCCCCTGCCCTCCTCAGACTTTTTTTACAAATGACTTTGAAGTTTACATGTCCTTAGACTGTGATCAAAGAAACATCAAGGCAATCTTCAAGTGCTCCGTTCTCCATAGCTGTGGGAAGGCTTCCTTTTGGTTAGGTATCCATACTTGCAAGTGGATTCTGTTTGGAACCTAGGTCTTGCTGTATTGCCCAGGCTGGTCTCAAAACTGGGCTCAAGTACTTCCCCTGCATCAGCTTTCCAAGGAGCTAGGATTATGAACTAGAACTTATAAGTATTTATATTAAATAATTGTATTTTGAGTCAGAGTTTTACTATCTACCTCAGGCTAGCCTCCAACTCATTCATAATCTTTCTGCTTTGGCCTTCCAAGTGCTGGGATCACAGGGGTGCACCATTATGTTCAGCTTGCAAGCATAAAATTCTTTTAAACAAATAATTTACTTGTATTTTATGTACATTTGTGCTTTGCCTGCATGTAGATCTGTGTGAGGGTGTTGGATCCCCTGGAACAGGAGTTATAGACAGCTGTAAGCTGCCATGTGGGTGCTAGGAATTGAACCTGGGTCCTCAGGAAGAGCAGTCAGTGCTCTTAACTACTAAGCCATCTCTCCAGCCCATAACATTCTTAAAATTGTGATGAACAGGTCATCAAGATGGCTGAGCAGGTAAAAGCACTTGCTGTGAAACCCTGAACCCACATAAAGATGGGAGGAGAAAGCTGACTCCAGGGTGCGCATACCCCACACAATCGAAAACGCTTATTGTGATAAAATACATGTCTTAGGGGCTGGGAAGATGGATCAGAGGTTAAAAACACTGGCTGCTCTTCCTGAGGACCCGGGTTCAATTCCCAGCACCCACATGGCAGCTCACAACTGTCTGTAACTCCAGTTCCAGGGGATCCAGCACCTTCACACAGACATATATTCAGGCAAAACACCAATGCACACAAAGTAAAACATTATTTTGTAAAAATACATGTCTTTGGCCAATTGAACTATCTGCAGGAGAAATACACTGTTGTGCCACCATTACCACTGCCTATTTCCAAAACATCACCCCAATAGGAACTCTGGCTCCCTGAATACTGGCTCTCCACTCTCCTTCCCCAGCCCTTTGTGTTTCAGCGTCTGCCTGCTCCAGATGCTTCTTCTAAGTAGGATAGACAGTGCACTATGGAGGTCTGTCCACATTCTCTAGCCCTGTTCCTGGCTGAACACCGCCTCCTCACCCCCGTCTGCTGCTAGCATTCAAGGATGTCAAGTTCTTCTTTTGATTGTTGCAAAGTTGGTAGCAATGCACACACTTTCAAATTTGAGTGACTTGGGGCCTTCATTATTCTTTGCTGATCTAACTAAAGGTTTGTCAATTTTGCTCATCTTTTCAAATAACCTGGTTCTCTATTCTATTTATCTCATCTATTTTCCCTCATTTATGTGTGTGGAGAGTGCGTGTTTGTGTATGTTCAGGGGCATGCATGTGGATGGAGGCCCACGGTTGATGTCAGTACTTATCCTGGATTGTCTTCTGTGGTCTCAGGGCTTTTCCTCATGCTAGACAAGATATGCCTCCAGCACCCAGATCCTGTTTTTGTTTTTTGTTTTTGCTTTTGTTCCTTTGAGATAGGTTGGAGCTATCCTGGAACTCACTCTGTAGTAGATCAAGCTGGCCTCAAACCCACAGAGATCCACCTGCCTCTGCCTCCTGAGTGCTGGGACTAAAGGCGTGCGCCACCACCGACCGCCTGGATCCTGGTTGTTTCTGAAGACTTATTATTGTGTGTTTGAAGTTTCCCTGCACGTGTGTGTGTTTCACATGCAAGCCTGGCGGCCAGAAGAGGCCGTCAGGTTTCCTAGAAATCACAGGTGCTGGTGAGGCGCCCCATGGAAGCAAATCTACATCTCTACAAGATCAACAAACAAGCTCTACCATGGGAACTCTCCAGACCCTACTTAAAATGACATGTATTTATTCACTCATTTTGTGCATGTCTATGCATATGAGCACATGGAGTTTGTGAAGATCAGGGGACAACTTATAGGAGTTGGTTCTTTTGCCGCCACGTGGGTCCCAGGGAGCAGGCTTGAGTAGTCAGGGTTAGCGACAGTGCTTTTCCCTCTAAGCTGTCTCTCAGGCCCCCCACTCTACCCCACCCCACCCCACCCCACCCCACCTCGATTTCCTTTCCAGACACCATCACTTCAGAGGCTTTGCCATGCTTCCTGAGAACACCCTCAGGAGGGCTGAGAGGCCGTCAGCAGAGCACAGCACCTGTTCGGCCACCTGGCGCAGATGAGGTGGAGGGGCGTTTCCTGTAGCATGCCTGGGAAGGGCAGCTGGCTCGTCTATGCCTGCATGAAATCAACTGAGAATCCCCCATGAAACAGAGTCAGCGGACCCTGCTAGGAGCAAGGAAACAAAAAGAATAAAACCACGGTGGCCAAGCCATAGTAGAAACGGGATTTTAATATAATATTCAAGTCTAGCATTTTCTATTTACAACAAATAAATATTGCCCCACCCCAAACAGTAAACTTTTTTACTTTTTATACAAATATTCAGTCGACTTCCCCTCCCCGCAAATCTCCTTATCCCCGGCCTCCCATTTCACACAGTCTTGTATAACCCAGGATGCAGTGGTGTTGGATGGCACTTCCAGTGGTATGGGATTCGATACTAACCGGGTGGTCCATGAGAGCTTCTCTCTCTGATCCGAGGGAGGGCTGGGGCTCATGGCTGGTGAGACTCCCTCACTCTGTTGGCCCTGAAGGTGGAATCTTTGGTGCAGCCTGAGAAAGGCTAGAGTGTGGGAAGAGAGGCCGGGACTTCCATGAAGGCCCCAGGCCCGTGCCTGTGGGCACAGGGAGAGAAGGCAGCGGTCAGCCCTGCTGGGTGTGTGCATGTCCTGGAGCATCCAGGGGCATGGGTGGCAGTGATCTGCACCTGGGGAGGTGTCAGCAAAGTGTAGAGGGTAGTGTCCAGGGCAGGCAAGGTACCATGCCCAGTTGGCAGCACTCCTTGGCAAAAGTCAGCTAGTCCTCTGGTTCCAGAGAGCAGAAGGCACCTAAGGCGGCGAGTGGTCCCCGGAGGCCAGGTCAGCCTGTCAGCGGCAGGTGTCAATCCCGGCAGCAGGAGAGGTTTAGGGTGAAACTGGAGTCTGGGGGTAGCCTGGGCTGGCCGGTGGACAGAGGTACCTGTGTGGCCTGGGCCACGCTAGTCTAAGTGCTTAGTCCCAGCCAGCCAGACCTTGGGAGATGTCCTTAGAAGATGCCTTTGGCAATCTTGAGTCCTTTCTGCTTCATGCGAGGGAGGGTGGAGCTGGCGCCATGCTTGACCTTAGCCCCCTTGGTAAAGGTCCGCTTCTTTAGAATAAAGTCATAGTTGGCGGTAGAGTTCATGGCATAGAACACGTTGGCATTTTCTGGAATCTTCAGTTCTGGTGGGAGAGGGGCAGGGCTACATTTAGTGGTGCTCATGGGGCTGGGACACCTCCACCACTTGAGAGCCTCCCCAGGCCACCAACAAGGACCTCTCCTGTGACTCCCAAAGGGGGCAGATAATGCTGAGAATAGAGAAATTTCCTGACTAGTCAGGAGTCTCCCCATCCCACCCACATGGCTGTCTGTGCTAGTTGGGACTTCCAGCCAGAGCAGGCTTCCTGCAATCCAGTTGGCCTTCCTTCATGCTCCCTCCCCTCTACTACTCACAAGGGCTCTGAGGACCAACAGAGGGCAGAGCCTCCCTCTGGATCCAGTTCCCACCAGGCTCCTCTAGCCTAGAATCTATCATTACCGAGCAGAACTTGCTGCTCCTCCTGACCCTGTGTTTGGCTCCAGGTCCTGAGCCTCTGCAGGCCCTTCTGAAAGGTGTGTGTGTGTGTTGGGGAGGGTCCTGAGCCTCTGCAGGCCTTTCTGAAAGGTGTGTGTGTGTGTTGGGGAGGGTCCTGAGCCTCTGCAGGCCCTTCTGAAAGGTGTGTGTGTGGGGGGGGGTCCTGAGCCTCTGCAGGCCCTTCTGAAAGGTGTGTGTGTGTGTGGGGGGGTCCTGAGCCTCTGCAGGCCCTTCTGAAAGGTGTGTGTGTGTGGGGTGTCCTGAGCCTCTGCAGGCCCTTCTGAAAGGTGTGTGTGTGTGTGTGTGTGGGGGGTGTCCTGAGCCTCTGCAGGCCCTTCTGGAAGGTGTGTGTGTGTGTGTGTTGGGGAGGGTCCTGAGCCTCTGCAGGCCTTTCTGAAAGGTGTGCGTGTGTGGGGGGGTCCTGAGCCTCTGCAGGCCCTTCTGAAAGGTGTGTGTGTGTGGGGGGTGTCCTGAGCCTCTGCAGGCCCTTCTGAAAGGTGTGTGTGTGGGGTGTCCTGAGCCTCTGCAGGCCCTTCTGAAAGGTGTGTGTGTGGGGGGTGTCCTGAGCCTCTGCAGGCCCTTCTGAAAGATGTGTGTGTGGGGGGTGTCCTGAGCCTCTGCAGGCCCTTCTGAAAGGTGTGTGTGTGTGGGGTGTCCTGAGCCTCTGCAGGCCCTTCTGAAAGGTGTGTGTGGGGGGGTCCTGAGCCTCTGCAGGCCCTTCTGAAAGGTGTGTGGGGGAGGGGTCCTGAGCCTCTGCAGGCCCTTCTGAAAGGTGTGTGTGGGGGGGGTCCTGAGCCTCTGCAGGCCCTTCTGAAAGGTGTGTGTGTGGGGGGGGGGGTCCTGAGCCTCTGCAGGCCCTTCTGAAAGGTGTGTGTGTGTGGGGGGGGGTGTCCTGAGCCTCTTCAGGCCCTTCTGAAAGATGTGTGTGTGGGGGGTTCCTGAGCCTCTGCAGGCCTTTCTGAAGGGTGTGTGTGGGGGGGGTCACCTCATTCTGTCCAAATGACCAAACAGCAGAAGCTAAGAGAAGGCTTGGAATACAACATCTAGATGTCACGGGAACCACTGCTGACTGGGGCAGGTGGTGGGATGAGGGTGCTCAGCTCACATCAGCAGTGTGACGACAACACGCACGTGTGACCTCTATGGTCATTTTCTCTCTAGCATTAATCTGCTGGTCAGAGTCTCCTTTGGGAAACATAGGCACAGAATGCCTAGAATTTTCTAAGGTCCTTGAGAATGGCCTGTTTTTTGTTTTACCTGAGACGGGTTTCTCTGCGTAACAGCTCTGGCTGTCCTGGAACTCGCCCTGTAGATCAGGGATCTGCCCGCCTCTGTCTCCTGAGTGCTGGGATTAAAGACGTGCACTACCACCACCCGGTGGGCTGGTTCTTTTATTTATCTTGTTAATTACGTGCATGTGTCTATGGAGGCCCAAAGAGGGCATCGGATCCCCTAGAACTGGAGTTACTGGAAGTTGCCAGCCAGCTGATGTGTGCTGGAAACTGAACTCAGGTACTCTGCAAGAGCAGCACACACTTACATTTTTTAAGATTTAATTTTATGTATGAGTATTTGCCTGCATGTATTTGTGTACAACACATGTGGGAGATTAGAAGGGGGCTTTGGATGCTCTGGGATTATAGGTGGTTGTGAGCTACCACGCGGATGCTGGGAACTGAACCTGGGTCCTCTGGAAGAGCAGCAAGTACTCCCAACCACTGAGCCATCTCTCCAGCCCTGGTTTCTAGAACACGGACTCAGTATGTGTGCTTTTTGTGTCCATATGTGGATTTTAACATGTGAAAAAATCTTTTTTTTTTTTTAAATTAGCCGGGCGGCGGTAGCACACGCCTTTTTTTTTTTAATTTTTATTTATTACGAATACAACACCCTGCCTCCATGTACACATCAGAAGAGGGCACCAGATCTCATTACAGATGGTTGTGAGCCACCATGTGGTTGCTGGGAATTGAACTCATGACCTCTAGAAGAGCAGTCAGTGCTCTTAACCTCTGAGCCATCTCTCCAGCCCGACATGTGAAAAATCTTACTGAAGCACCTGTTTTCTTATTTTAGCTAGGCAGTGTCCCCTCTGGCAGGCCCCTGAATGAGTCTCTCTCTTCAACTCTTGCATCTTGGAAAGGGAAGCCCAGCTGATTCTGGGGCAATGAGATTCTAGGTGTTAAGGGCTGCCCAAGACAGATTGCTGTGGGTGCCAGGATCACATTTACCCTGGGGCAGGGGACTGTGTTGACTAGCCTGGAGTGGGGCCGTCTGACTTACTGTGGTCCTCTGAGATGCTCTGTCTGACTTACTGTGGTCCTCTGGGATGCTCTGTCTGACTTACTGTGGTCCTCTGAGATGCTCTGTCTGACTTACTGTGGTCCTCTGGGATGCTCTGTCTGACTTACTGTGGTCCTCTGAGATGCTCTGTCTGACTTACTGTGGTCCTCTGAGATGCTCTGTCTGACTTACTGTGGTCCTCTGAGATGCTCTGTCTGACTTACTGTGGTCCTCTGAGATGCTCTGTCTGACTTACTGTGGTCCTCTGAGATGCTCTGTCTGACTTACTGTGGTCCTCTGAGATGCTCTGTCTGACTTACTGTGGTCCTCTGGGATGCTCTGTCTGACTTACTGTGGTCCTCTGGGATGCTCTGTCTGACTTACTGTGGTCCTCTGGGATGCTCTGTCTGACTTACTGTGGTCCTCTGGGATGCTCTGTCTGACTTACTGTGGTCCTCTGAGATGATCTGCACCAGCTCATAGTCCTCTGGCTCATCTTCGTCCAGGTTGTGTTTGTCCATGGCTTTTCGGATGACAGTCGGGGCCTTATCCTGGCTGGTTACCTGAAACAGGGACAGGCCATCAGGACAAGGGCCACAAATGCTCCCACAGGGCACAGTGGCCAGAGACCCATCTGGGCACCTTTCACCTTCTGCTTTCTTAAAGTGGCCTCCATAGTATGAGGCTGGCTGTTTCCCAACTGTTCCCAGCCTTATTTTCCCATAACAGCCTGCTGCCAACTGCCATGCTGCCTCGGGGAGTCCTGTTCTCCTGAAGGCAAGAGGATCACAAACCAACCGTTTCCACTCCAGTGGAAACCAACAGTTTCCACTCCAACCCTAAGGAGGAACCAGCCAATGCCCACTGGCCACCTCTATCTTGCTCTGCCCCGGGGCTGTGATGGTAGGTAGCATAGGCTAGCTCAGGGGAACTCAGTCGTGGGGTCACCCAGGTGAATGTTAATCAGAGCCATTGCAGCTCCTGGCACAGAGGGGCTGAAGCCCCACTGGGGTGCTGTATGGCACCTGACCCAGGGTAGGGGTCATCTGCAGTGGGAGCGCTGGCAGGTGAGAAAGGTCCTCCCTGTGTGCCCATCCTCAATCTGTGAGCAATCCCATCGGCTCCATGTTCAAATAGCACCCACACTTTAACACTACCAACTCTCCCCGTGGCCACCAGCCGGCTTCGGCCTCCCTCTCCCGGAGCTTGGACTGCAACAGTGGCCTCCTGAGCCGCCTGCCTCCATCTTGGTCAGCAGCCCATCCCTATGGACACACCAAGCCACCACTGACCTCTGTTTCAGCCTCCAAAGAATGTCAAAGGCCTTACAGTTCAATAGGGTCCTGACCACCTCTCTCTCAACCCTTGTCCCATTGCCTCAGACCTGCTGACCTGCAGGCCACAGTCCCCTGGGGGCATAGGCATACAGCTTCTTTCCTCCCCTCAGGCCCTGAGTGCCGACGACCAAGGTCTCCAGTCACTGCTATTTTTTTCAAACCTAGAAGGTCAGTGCTAAGGGGTCAAAGGCCGCACAGCACACAGGTTTCTGTGCACGTTTGCCACCTGGCCGAGCTGGGCCCCGTGGGGACTGCCCTGCTGCCGGCTCACCAGGATGCTCTTGTACATGTTGCCGTTGTCCACGTCCAGGCTGACCCGGATGATGCAGCAGTCGCCCACCTGCTGGTTATAGAGTGGCAGTGAGGAGCTGTAGCTGCAGACCCCTGAGACGGAGCGCTTGTGGGTGCGCGTGGTAGACACGGGCGTGGTGGAGGCTGAGGAGGAGGAGGTGCTGCTGGAGGCTGAGCTGACGCCAGAGGTCTCCGGCGATGACTGGGAGGCGGACTCCCAGAACTGTGGATGACAGCGATGTCAGCAGCAGCCTGAGTCACCGGGGGCCCTCGAGGCTAGGGGTCACTGTTGGGGACGTCTGGGCCCCTTGGCTGGACACGGTGTGAGAAGCAACCATAAGGAGGGGGGTGGGGCACGGGCGCTTGCCTTCTTTTCCTGGCCATCAGGGGACTCCGGGACAAAGCTCATGTTGATCTCCTCCACGTCAGAGCTGGAAGAGCCAGCGGAGTGCACGCTGAGGGCGTCAGTGATGTCCCCGCTGCCGAGGTAGGGGCCGCACCGGAGCTGGTCACAGGACTTGGAGTGGGCGCTGCTACTGGTACTAAGCTCTGTGCTGGGAGCCTGGCGGCTGGATGGAAAGCTTGTCTTACTTTAGGGGTCTTCCCAGGGACACAGCCCTTGAATGTGTAGAGTCTCAGTCTACCAGTCCTGTTTTTTCTGGGTATCTGTGGGATCACCCCATTTCAGAGACATGGAAACTGAGTCCCGGACAGCTAATTCAACTCACTCTGTGACGGACAGGGCCAGTCAGTGGTAGGGTAACACCCCAGTGCCAGCTTGTCTGGCTCTCCTAGCCCACAGCCCCTGAGGCTTCTCTGGTCCCCGTGCAACCCTGGGCCCAGGCGCTTACTCGCTCCAGCGCTTGACAATGGCTGTGCTCTTCTTGCTCCTGAGGGTGTTGCTGGCTGATTCAGACGGGGGCTCCAGCTCACACGAAAGGTTGTAGCTAAGGCAGAGGTGGCTGTGAGGCTACCAGAAGCTAAGCTGGAGCTCCCAACCAGGGCTAGCCCACAAGCTATCCTGGGTACACCGCCATCAGCAGACAACAGTGTGACGTGGTAACTAACCCAGGGCCTACAATCTTACCTCTCAGCCTCACTGAGCCGTTCCATGGCTCGAAACCAGGCTCCGAAGTGCTCCTCGGGAGCAATGCTGTAATTGTTGCAGGCAGACTGTAACAGCTTGATCTGGGCGATCACTTCGAACTCCTGGGTCAAAGGAAGACAGGGAGGAGGTGGGCCTATAAGGGTGGGGCAGGAGCTAGCCTCTTACACCTACTCAGGCCCCTTCCTGTTTTCACAGTCCCAACAGTCACTCCTAGGGAAGCTGTCCTGGATGCTGTCTCCCAGCTCCTTTCTGTGGGACAGCCCTTGAAGGGTGCACCAGGTGTTAGCATGAATCAACACAAGGATGGAACATACATCTTGCCCAGTCCATGTTCCCCTCCCCAGACCTTCCCCTCCCCAGTTCCTCACCTTCCTTCTCTTTTCAAAGTTGATGAGTCTCCCCTAGAAGACAGACAGCCAACATCCGTAAGAAAAGCAGCACCCTCCACCATTAAAGCCCTGCCTACTTTGTTCTGCACTACTACAGGCACCCACTAGGGGGCAGGGAGCACTGCACCTGGCCCCAGGCGTGGCAGAAGGGAAACCTGAGAGCAGGTTTGTAGACATTCCTGTCCACTCCACCATGAGTTAGAAGGCCCTGCTCGGCCCACATGCTGCCTGACCCTGGAGTGTGGAGTTTCACGCTCTTGCTCAGAGCCACCATCTGAGGGTCATGCATGTCTAGCCTGGCCAACCCACTCCTCAGCTCTGCGGTCAGCCAGCTCTGGGGTGGGGGCGGGGGCCACTAGGGAGGCAACCTTCAAGCTCAGGGTTCAGGAGGGGCTTTGTTCTCCTAACCCTCGGGCTCCCACCTCAGCCCCAGGTTCACTCACATATAGATAGTCCTTCATAGCAGTGTCCAGCATCACCAGGTCAGTGAGGAATGTGCCCAGGTAGGGGACAGTGCCCTGGATGACACCCTGAGGCATCAGGTGGGAAATAAGTGGCTTAGTGCCCCTTTCCCCTACTCACCTGACCCCAGACCCAGCAGGAACTTCCACTTGGAGCAGCCCAAGAACCTCTGCCCCCTCTCCCAGGCCCTCTTCCCCCGACTCCCACCCCAGGCCAGCAGATCAACAACATGTGGCTCCTGCTTATACCCTCCCACAAAGAGCTGCCGGGCCCTGACTGATGGTACGGTTTGCACTTGTCCCCCAAGATGTAGCTGGCCACCTTGCCATGGAAGGTAAGGGCCAAGAGAACCCTTCCTCTCCCACCCTCCAGTTAGCTCACTCACTGTCTCCTTCTGCCGCCTCTGGGCTCTCCTTGGGTTCATTTCCAGCGTGGCAAACTTGGAGGTTCCTTCCTGCCAGGGTTGAAGGGGGAGTGAATGAGACTTTCTCCCTCCCGATCCCAACCTAATGCTCCGGCCCGGGCCTGGAGGCCCCTGCACTGGCTGGTCCAGCATGCCTGCTGCGGCACTGGGTGCTTCTACATCAGTCTCCTGCTCTAACACCCGGTGGTGGAGAGGGGCGGGCCTGGGCCTGGCCTTCCTGGACCCAAGCTTGGCCCCCAGTGTCACCCTGACTCGATTCCTGCAGCCAGAGTGTGGCGACCTCTTACACACTCACCCCTCTTCTCCCTTAGATGTCATCACCTCCTGTAACCTCAGTGTCCTCCATTTGCCAGACAAGAAGACAGGCAGCAACTTGTGCAGAATCCCCAAGGACTCTGGGGAGTGCAGCCCACTGACTGTGGTCCTGGCCCCTGGCCCCTTGGTGTGTGGCAGGATCTCTAACTGAGCTCAGTCACAATGGGAGAGGGACAAGGTGTCTCAAGCTCCTTGTTCCAGCCCCTAAGTGGGGCCCAACACCAAAGCTTCCCAGCTCTGCAGAGCCTTAGCAGAGACCTCTGCCTCTGTTCTCTAAGGACACAGCTCCTCATGGGCTGTCTCAGGCTGACCAATATGGTAGGGTAGGCACCACTGATGATGCTTTTTTTTTCCTTCCTGTATGGAAGCTTCTGGGGTGAAACAGAAAGGTATGTTAATCAGCTCCTGCTATGTCTAAGCTGCCTGGGCATCCCGTGGCTTCACAGGATAAGGCAGTCTGCCACTGTTCCTTAAGCTGGTCAGCAGCTTCTGCATCAGGGAAGATGGGAAGAGCCACTTATGCAGGTATCTCTGCACCCTGGGACTAGATGTTTGGAATGGAGGATAGTCCCTATCCCTAGGAGGGGCCTGGCATCACAGAGACAGAACGGACTGGCTTAGGAAAGGAGGTAGGTGCACCCCCTTCTATCTATCGCCTGCTCATCAGAATGCCAGTGGCTAAATCCTAGCAGGAAGCTGTAGACCAGCTAATCCGGCTGGCTCATCCTCCTGTAGCAGGCTGGCTGGCTGGCTGGCTGGCTGGCTGACTGTCCCCACTGATTACCAGGGGCCTCCTGTATCTCCAAATTCCTGCCACCTGCCCAAGGGCCAAAGACATCCCTCCTCCCTTTGTCCAGCTTTGACAGGACTGGAAGTCTGACATCCCTTGTTCCCCCCATCACTGTGGCTTCCTCACCTTGATGAGCAGCTCTCTGCTCAGGGAGTAGTTGTTCTCATCAGAGAAGATTTCCGACAGTTTCTGGAACACTCGAAAACTGTCCCTGAAGGCAGCAGAGAGAGAAGGCAACTGTTGGGAAGAGTGTGTCCTGGGGCAGGCACCATGGAGAGCCCGTTTTCTTTTAGAACCAAGATCCTAAGCTGCCAAACAAGGATGTTCTAAACATGCTTCCACTGGGGACTACAGATGGGAGTAAGCAAAACTCTGTTCCGCTTTCAGCTGTGTGCAAGCAGGAAACTCTCACCTGCCTCTAGTCAGGGTGTGCACACCAGTGGACCCACCCCTTGGACTCGGCTGCTGTGGCTCACTGAAGGCTGAGCCATCTGGGGTACAGTAAGGGAAGGGGATGGAGAGGCCTACCTGGAGACCTCTTCCCATGTCTTCTTTAGGCGGTGGATGGCATTGCTCTGTAGAGCAGAGAGGATGGCGTAGAGGGAGGAGAAATTCTTGAGCACTCTGCACTCCTGGGGACAAGGAGTCTGTGAGCAGAGCCCCAGGCTGAGCCCCTCCTTAAGAATGCCAGGGGAAGCTCCCAGAGGGCATGCCAGGGACACACGCTCACACAGCAGCTCAAGTGTACAGTGCTGGGAGGGAGCGTGTGGTCCTGAGGTCCGTGAGGAAAAAGAGGAGGTCCCCAGGCCCCTCCTGCAGCCTACCCTGGCCACCTCGATCCAGTGTTCCACCACCCGGGCCCTGTCTGAGGCCTTCATGCTCTGGTCCCCAAGACAGGTGGTAATGACACAGTTGGCCACGTTGTTGAACTGGGCGACAGTGGCGCGGATGGTAGGTGCGAGGTGCTCCTTGCCCTTCTTGTCCCTCTGAGACCATATGGAGCCAAGGCAGTGGTAGGGCACCACTTTCTTGAATAGTTCCTAGGGAGGAGAGTTGGTGTCACTGGGTCCTGCACAGCCCACAGGCCCACGCTGGAGCTCACAGAGTGAGGATGTGGCTGAGTCCAGTGGGACTCCTACCTCTCCACCTGACCTCTGAGGGCACCCAGCGCAGGCGTGAACCAGGAGAAATGATGGCGAGAGGGAAAGTGTGCATACCAGTGGCTCACGCCTGCTCATCTCAGAAAGCATCTGCTGCTCCCTCCCCTCCCCTGCCCAGCGAGCACACCTGCTACACAGCCTGTCCTACGCCTGGCAATCTCCAGGGCACAGGAAGCACTTCATAAATGCTGAGGCTAGACAGGCCTCCAGGGCAGAATGGAACGGGGTGACCCAGGAGCCTACGGGTATTTTGGTGAGCGCACCTCCTTCCCTAAGAAATCAGGCCCACCACATTTTCTATCTGCTCCAAATCCTCAATTCTGTATTCTGTGTGTGGAGGGTGGGTGTGGGTGTGGGTGTGGGTGCATGCACATACACACACTCCATGACCACCACCCAGGGAGAATCAACGCCTTGGGGTTAAGTGGTATGCCCGATCACATGGGATTCGCCCTGGGGGACACAGGCTCTGAAGCAGAAAACAGGTCTAGACAGCAGAGTACAAAAGGAAGCCAGCCTTGCCCTACCCCACGGTGCCACTCACAGCGTCCATCAGCGTAAACTGCTCAGCCACCAGGTCTGGAGGGAACAGCAGGAGGTGGGGCTTCTCGTCCAGTCCATTCTCTGTGGCTCCAGGCAAAAGCCAGGAAGGCTCTAGTGTGGGAGCCGGCACAGGAGCTGGTTCAAGCTCTGAGGTCTGCGAGGGAGCTGGCTCCAGCTCTGGAGCCGGTGCTAGGGGTGGCTCAGGCTCTAGAGGTGGTGCTGGAGCTGGTTCCAGCTCAGAAGCTGGGGCCACCACCAGGCTGGAACCCAGGGCTGGTACCGGGGACAGCTCCAGCTCAGAAGCTGGAGCCACCACCGGGCTGGAACCCAGGGCTGGTACCGGGGACAGATCCGGCTCAGAAGCTGGAGCCACCACCAGGCTGGAACCCAGGGCTGGTACCAGGGACAGATCCGGCTCAGAAGCTGGTACTGGCTCTGGCACTGATGCCACCACCGGGCTGGACGCCAGAAGCAGCGCTGGAGCTGGTTCTAGCTGTGAAGCTGGCTTCAGAGACAGCACTGGAGCTGGGGACAGGGCTGCAGGAGAAAAGATGTCCAACATGGATGCCTTGTCCAGAGCATTTCCAAAGACAGAGTACCACTGCCTGTCAGAGAGGCAAGGCCCTGTCCCCACAACAAAATGTTGACCCAGATCACAGTGTACTGCCTGCTGGGTCCCAGGCTCATTCTTGCTCCTGGGCCAGGGCTGGCCCTAGAGCCTCTTTGTGGTGGGAACTAATACTGACGCCTCCTACCAGGCTGTGTAGCTTCCCCTGGCTCCTCACCCTCAGGCTCAGCCTCGCTGGGCTCCAGGTCCTCCAGCTGGGCCAGAAGAAGGTGAGCTCGGCGCTCCAGGTCTGAGCCAGGCATGTTGAGCTGCACATAAGCCACCAGCTGCTTGAGGCAGGGAAAGTCCGGAGGTTGACAGAAATCCTCTGAGTATTGGTCCAGCCAGGTGCCCAGGATGGAGGAGATGGCACTGGGGACAGGCAGGCAACAGAGTCAGAGGCGTGGCCTCTCCTCCCACCCTCCCACAGCAGCCCCGTGGTGTGCTTCCAGCCAGCCACAAGTCTCCTTTGGCTGTCCTGATGGTGGCAGGGCAAGTGACTAGACAGAGGCTACAGAGCATCCCTACAGGGGAGGGCAAAGGCCCACCGATGGAATGGCAGCTCTCCAGGGTCTGTAGGGAAACACCCCCACTCCTGTCCAACTCTTTTGGATCGCAAATGCAGGAAGGGCTTATCCTCCTACCTGGCAGTCAAGGAACCTCAACCAGTTGCTGGGACTAACTAGCTCAGTACCTATTCTTTGTGAGCCAGGTGTGGGCCGTGTTTTCCTGAGGTACACAGTTTGCTCTTTGAACCCCTTAGGGACCAGCTAAATGACCATTACCAAAGAGCGAGGCTGCGTGTCTATCAAGACAGGCTGTGCTAGAGAAGGATCCTTATAGTTGTTGGTTCTGAATCACACACACACACACACACACACACACACACACACACACACACACACACACACACACATATCCTCCTTTCTGCTCCTTCAATACTCAGAAACCCCCTGAACTCTATCTTCTTCTGGCTGCAGGAGGAACCTTTGACCTCAGTCCTCCAGCAGGAACCAGAAGAGTGGGACCTATAGTTTGCTCAACCCTTGTTCCCCAAACCTCCCCTCTTGACCCAAAGCCCACTTACTTTCTGAGTTGGTCCTGTGGTCCACCGTCCTCACTGGAGTACGGGAGGATGCAGCCATATCTAGAGGAGGCCGTGAGGGCGTCACATCTACCGTACCTGCTTATGATGTCTAGTGTTACTGGCCGACTCCCTGATGGGAACGGAGCCCAGGGAGGCAGGGACTCTCTGCTCTTGTCACAGAGAAATGCCCGGCAACACGGCTACACACAGCAGATGTTTTACACACTCCGATACCTCGGCATACCTGGAGCCTCTCAATCAGTTACCACGAGGCCTATGTCTATAAGTCAAGGTCCCCCTACCCCCTGCCCCATTTCTACGTGGGGAACCATTTAGCCCAAGACTCAGGTGAAATGGCTTTTCCATGGAAGAAGGGATGGCCATATAAAACCCATGAGGGTTTTTCCCACAGCCCAGACAGGGGTGGCACTGCCAGGGCCCAGCTAATTTCCTCCAGACAACAGCCTGTGATAGTTTACTATCAAACTGGGGCTCACAGAGACACAAGGCATTCCCAAGTCCCAGACAGGAGGAAGGATGAGCCTGGGTCTAGAGCTGGTGCTCACCTTTTGAACAGCAGGTCTAGCACCTGCTGAGTGGTGGTGAAGGCTCTGTAGGTGCACAGGAAAACGGTGACGTATGAGAGGTCACTGCCCTGGAAGGCAGGCACCAGGTGCTCCACCAGCTTCTCCAGAGTGCCAGCCTTCACTGTGCGCACCTTGCAGGTCTCGTACAGGTTCAGGGCCGCCTCATTCTCACACTGGGTGAACAAGGGAGGAACACCATCATTCTCACACTGGGTGAACAAGGGAGGAACACCATCAATGACAGGGCTGTGGTCTCAGGAGAGCTGGAGTGTGGAGCTCGGATCACCTCCTACACACCCTCAGTACAATGTGGCGACAACTGGGAAAAAGTCTCGGTAAAGGGTCTCAGATTTTTTTTTCTTTTTTGAGACAGGGTTTTTTGTATAGCCTTGGCTGTCTTGGAACTCACTACGTAGACCAGGCTGGCCTCAAACTCACAGAGATCCGTCTGCCTCTGCCTCCCGAGTGCTGGGAGTAAAGGTGTGCGCCACCAACACCACTCGGCAAAGGCCTCAGATTTTAAATTAAAATTTGAGGTGTGGAACCCTTCAGGGTGGTTTCTTAGATGAGTAACAATATCTAACATACTGGGGGGGTGTCCAACCAAATAGCCCATCCTAGAGGTGGAAAGACAGATTTACTCCAGAGTCAAAGAGTTGGCCTATTAGGACCTAGGATATTCCCTGAGCAAACTTAATGAATACAGAGAAGAATCCTGTTCGGATCCAATAGCAAGAAGCTCAACAGCTGTGACAATAGGCTTCTCTTCTGCAATATTATGTGACTGGGTTAGGCCCAGCTTCTTGGCTCAAGGGGCCCAGGGGACATGTTCTGAGACAGCAAGTTGCAGAAGTGTATACATGCTTGCTAATTTTGTAAACACAGGCTAGAGTCATCTTAGAGGGTGGAACCCCAATTGAGACAATGTCTCCGTAAGACTGTGTTGTAGACAAGCCTGTAGGACATTTTCCTAATCAGTGATTGATGTGGGAGAGCCCAGCCCATTGTGGGTGGTGCCATCCCTGGCTGCTGGTCCTGGGTTCTATAAGAAAGCAGAGCGAGCTAAGCCATGAGGACACAGTCGGGAAGCAGCTCCCCTCCATGGCCTCTACATCAGCTCCTGCTTTCGGGTTCCTGCCCAGTCTGAGATGTCGTGCCTTCCTTCAGAAATGGACTATAGAAGTACAAGTGTGAGTCAAATAAACCCCTTCCTCCCCAACTTGCTTTTGGTCATGGTGCTTCTTCATAGCAATAGGAAGCACCTAACTAAGCCAGTATACAAAGCCTGAAATTCTATTCTCTGGGGACAAAGGGCAACCCTACTATAAGAGGATTTGTAAGGCTAGGAGGAAGGTGTAGGAGGACTGGCATCTGGGGACGTGAATTAAACCCAGCAAAATATTCCAGTGTGCATGGCCTTATGGGAAATGAGAAACAAAAATCAATGGTGTCTCCTCTCACTTGTAGACAGGCAGGTCAGCAGGGTCTTTGTGTATGGGCTAGACTTTGGGCTGGGATAGAGGGGGTCAGCCCAGAGTCCTGACAGGGTCACCCTCTGGGTGTCCTCTCTATACTCACCCCTAGCCAGCGCTGGCCCTTGGTGGCTCCCTGGTGTAGCTGAACCTTGCGCAGGGAGATGGAGTAGATGACCCCGTTGATCAGCTCCTCCCCAATCTCCTGCGTAGAGCTCTGGAAAGACAGGGCCCAGCAGCCGGGCCAGGGCATCAGGGGTCTGTCTGATGCAGGGGGAGGGCACAGACAATGGCGCCTAGACCTCCAGTGAAGTAAATGGAGAGCCCAGAACCCGTCTTCCCACCAGACTCCTCCTGACCAAACCGTCAGCACCTCAGGAACCTGCTCCTGCCTAGTACTGGACTGCACTGCACCTTTCTCCCTCGAAGGCAGGCGCTGCTATTCGGCCATTTCACAGAAGGGTGAGTGGAGGTTGAGGCAGGAGTAACTGACCCAAGTCAAACTGTCTTGTGTAAATGACAGAGTTCCCATCCCAAAGTCCTAACATGGTCACAGATGGCATTGGCCCTCGGAAAAACCTAGTCCCCAGAGCCCAAGGCCTGGGGTCACCCATGCCCTCGCCTCTCTGTCCCGTCTGAGACTCCTGGCTGAAGCAGCAGCATCGGGCAGTTCTTCCTAGCCCAGCCCTCGAGTCAGCATCATGGGTCTAAGGCGACTTCCTTCCCCTTCTGCTCATTCATGCTTCTGAGTCCTCTTGGGCAACACGGGACTTCCCAGCTGGCTGTTCTTCCTCACGTGAGTGGGGAAGAGCAACAATGCTGGGGTTCCACAGAACGCCAAATCATGAGGCCCAGTTGAGAAAGGAAGGGGTCATGTGGCTGCTCCTCAGAGTCCAAAGCAGAAAGGAAACATGATTTCCCTGACACCCCAGGGTCTCTCTGATTCCCGCCATCGGGGGAAGGGCTGTACCTGGGATGGAGGGTAAAGAAACCAACCTCTCAGCGCTCAGAAAGGGACAGGCAGGTTCAAACCTAGCCCAGGGCTATTGCCCCCACAGGATCACCATGGCCATGGACTACCTACTGTGCCTCCTTAGAGGTCTTTGGAAGTCAAGGCTGGAAGAGTCTTCCTTTCCTAAGGAGTTTGGTCACATCTGGTACCAGCTTCCTAAACACCCAAGTGGTCAGCAGCAGGGACTCAGGGTCTCACACAGGAACTTCCCTCCCCTGCCACACAACACTGGATTTCAGCCCGAGGCACCCCGTACAGTGCAAGTTTGCAACAGCATTTTATTGGTGCTCAATGGGCAGAAATGTGCCCCGCCCGGCTAGGCAAACCCTCAGGAGGGACAGGATGCAAGCGGCCGGGCGGCCTGAGCAGGGCTCAGAAGCAAGCCCTCGCTCAGCCCCGGGCTTCGGCTGGCAGCCCAGCAGCTGGCCTGGGCCCCATGGGAATGTCATGTGAGCCCTGCACCCTTCCCCCATCCGAGGGGGGGCACCCTGCCAGCTGGGTTGGGGGGGGTGCTGACAGGCACTGAGAGCCATACAGGCCTTCCTCTGGGGAGTCGGCACCCTGTCACACAGATGGGAACTGCTCCATGAACTCCATTTCCATCAAGCAACCACAGCAGAATCTAACCGGACCACCCTGCAATGCTGAGGGTGGGTACATTCTGACCAGAAATGCAAAGGAGATGCCCCAGGCCTGGTTAGAAAGCAGCAGGGAAGAGGCTCCCCATCCCCTCCCCCTAAGGATCTGCCCTCAGGTCCCTCTGAGGCTGGAAGGGCAGGGACCAAGTACCCTAAGGCCACCTTGGACTACCTTTGTAGCACACAGCCCAGGAAAACTCAAGCAGCCCAGGGAGAAGAGGGGATAGGCCGCCTAGTAAACAGCTGATACAGCAAAAGTGTCTGCCTGCTCGTCTGCCTGAGGCAGGCATCCAGGGTGCCTCTGAGTGCCAAGGGAGGAATGCCGCATGGTTGCTTGTGTCCTTAGGGAGGATCACCCCCTCCCCCCAACTACAGCATGTTCAAGGCCTCCAGCGCCCTTGGATGAAGTTGGCAGCTGTGTCTAACACACTTGGGTCAGTCACTTGGGGGTGACAGCGTCCCTGGGGATCCTTTGAGCAACTCTCCCAACACCATTCCTGGCACTGTCTCTTGAACGTAGCCAGAGCTCCCAGAATGAGGAGAAAAAACACGACCTGGGTGGTATCACCTGATTAATGTTCTCAGGCCAGCAGGATGTATGTCCCCAGCTAAAAGAGAAAGAGCTGCAGGCCAAGCCCAGAACAGTAAGCAGTAGGGGACCCAATGGGGACTCCAGGCCCTTCATCTCTCCCTGCAGAGCACTGGATAGCGGTGGTAAAGTGTCCAGTAAGACGCTGGCTATTTCTGTCTCGAGAGGCCTTGGCAGACATGGTAGATTTCAGAGCACAGGACCACAGCTTCTCTCTACATGTGCAGAGGCTCAGTCTACTTGGTGGTGCAGGTGGACTCTAAACCTTGAAGGTGACTTCTAAACCTGCCTGTACTACTGCCCAGTGCCACTGAGTCACTAGGTCACTCTAGCAGGCCCCTTGCAGGCATCCTACAGCTCTGGACACACAGGGCCCCACAGGACCAGACCCATGTACCGTATTTCAGGAAGGGTCTCAACCCCCAGCTTGGCTCAGTAACCTAGCCTCGAGCTGGGAACGCAGCAACAGCTAACAGGTGACAGGGTCGGGGCTGCAGCTGAGTAAGGATAGCACAGGTGAGGACATATGAGAGCCACACCTGTCAGTGGCCCACCTGGGACTACTCCACCCAAATGGCAGCTCACTCAGAGTTCTGGACCTTGAATGGAGCTTCCAAAGAGGGAGGGAGCAGTCCGCATGCTGGTTACCAACCTCAGGCTGCTCCTCTCCACAGGGGGCGAGCACACTCCCCTGTTCAGAAGTGGAAAGCAGGGCCCAAGGAGGGACCAGAGAGACACTGTCCAGGACTCCTCAAGGCCAGGCCCTGGTTTGGCTCTTAGACCATGAGCCCCAGTAGAGAAGGGAAAATGAAAGTGCCAAGCATTAGAGTCCTCTATACAAGCTCAAGCACTGGGAGGATATCTTAGACGCTAAGGCCTCGCAGCAGCCCTAGGTAATCCCCAAGCCCACAATCCACAGAGGTCGCCTCGGCTGGAACTATACAAAGTGCCTGGTTGCCGTGGCAGTAAGGGAGCACCAAGACCTCAGAAAGTACAGTCTTGGGCACAGTTTGCATAGCTTTCATAGAGTAAGATTCAGGTCCCCAGGAACCCTCCCTGTCAGCTTGAGTCCAGCTACTGGCCAAGTTAGCATTTTAGGAAAGAAAACTGAACTCAAATGGGGATGGGGATACCCATCCCTGCAGCCTAGTAAACCCATAACTTGTCCACCTGGTCATGCCGTCCATTTGCAACTGGTTCTTAATCATAAAACGGCCACCGTTGGCCAGGCCTGGGAGGGGGCATGGTCTGGTCCTCACAAGGCTTAAGGCAGGTCCAGTTAAAGGTTCAGACCCACACCACTGACCATGACCATGCCATCCAGTTTACTCAGGTATTTCTTGTACCAGGTCCTCTGTATACTTCATGCAAGTGACTCTCCCAGTATGCTGCCTTGCAGTTGAGAGCACAGCCAGGTAGGGCCAGGTGAAGGCTTACTCAGATAGAGCCAGGAAACAGCCGCCAGGACAAGGATTTGGTCCCTGGCCTAGAGGGACACACCCCGAGCTGGCTGCTGCTTCTACCAGAGGCCCAACACCAGGGCAGGGTCCAGTCTTGGTCACACAGATGCAGGGCAGGGGCTGGAGACAGAAATGACGTCCTCAGGCTACACAGCAAGTGGGAAAGTAGCCAGGCCAGTGGTTTCATGCCTGCACCTCTGAGCAAAGGCTTAAGGGCATGTCCTGGGGAAAATGTCTGTGATGCCATGCTGAGGCCAGCTGCAAGTGCCAGGTCACACATCCCAGGAGCCCAGAGTCCAGACATTCAGGAGGCTTGGGCTTTGTCACCTGGTCAGGAAAACTAGCTGAGGCCACTTCCAGTCTCTGGAGACTGCACTTGACAGGCTGTCCGTCTCACTTGGTCCATTCCAGAACTCAAAGAGTAATTGACATTATACCCACTTTACAGATGAAGACACTCTGGGGCTCAGAGGAGTCAAGCTGGCATTCCAGCACAGCTGCCTCCCCCACAGAGCTAGGCTATGCACCTCCAGTACAGAAGGACAGAACACCTGCAGTGTGACTGTAGGACAACAGTGGCAGGCAGAGGCATCAGAGGGGAGATTGCCTACGGAATACGCATGGCCCAGTAGTTCTGGTCCCCGTGCCCAGCTCAGTGAGCAGCCCTCGGGCTGTCCTTTCTCCAGAGAACTGAGTTTGTTCAGGGCCTCAGCTCCTGTATTAGGAAGCAACCAATCTCAATCTCTCACTCTCACTGGGCTGCGGGGACTGGCTTCCTAGGGTGTAGGCCTGATAACATAGCACTAGTGAGCACATCCAAAGTCCAACCCCAGGGCAGGTGTCAAACCGAGACCCTTAGGAGAGCAGCCTTCTGGAACCCCCTCCGCAACCCACAGGCCTGAACACTGTCTGGCCACATCACCGAGAGTCAGCCCGTTCTTGCCCTGCTAGCAATCCGGTTCCTCCTGCTCCAGAGCTGCCCTGAGGCTCCCAGGAAATGGGCCAGTAGGTCTCTCTCAGTGTCCCAGACTGGAGACAGAGGACCAGTACCAGCCATGTGGGCCTCCTCAATCTCTTCCACTGTGCCTGTGAGTAAAGTGACAGTGGGACAGCAGGGTCCTGGAGGCCTAGCAGTAACGGCCAGACCCTCATGAGTGTAACAGGCCCTAAGGTTCCTTCCTGGAGGCTGCCCTTTTAGAGACAGCCAGGAAGTTCCTCTGAAAGATTATCTTGTGTACACACACACACACAGAGCCCTCTGTATCTCTGGGTCTCCAGTGTCAAGGGAACAAAAGAACCTTGGGATAAGCTAAGAGCTGCACACAGAGTGGTCAAGAGACCAGACAGCCCAGAGGAGAAGCCCCCACACAGCCTTCAGGCGTCACAGGCTAGCTGCCAAGGTGAGAGGCTGGCCTGGCTTCTTGGCCTCTGCAGTTGACCAGCTTATTGACTCTGTGCAATCTAATTAGCTGTTTCATCTGTCAAATGGGCTATTAATAGCCTGACCCCCCCCCTTCCCCAAAGGACAAAATGCATACAAACTTTTTAGCTTAGGTCCTTCCACCAAGCCCTAGGACACTAGCTAGCATGTTAAGCTCCCAGTTCTACTGCTCCCAGGGTCTCCAAATCCCCTGGATTCTAAACAGGCTTTCCCCTCTCTCACCACGCCAGGGCCACCCTCCACCCACACACCCCAGCTTTTGCCAGCTTCCACTGTCCACTAGCTGTCTCTACCTTGTCCTGCTTCCAGGGTTTACAGGCAGCAGGCACCCCACCCCCAACCACAGAGAACACAGCTCGTGCTGAAGTCCCGTCTGAGACCCTTCCTGGCAGCATACTTATTGAGGTCAGGGACTTCACCTCTCTGCCTTCCAGCCTCTTAGCAGATGGCACTGGCATCTAAACTGGGTGTCTGTGCAAGCCAGGAGAACATGGTTCTGGTGCCTGCTGCCTCTAAGTGTCACAGATCCACAAATCGCTCTTGCCAGGTAGAAGCCGAAGCCTGCCTGTCACAGGGGAATAGACCTCATGACCTCCAAAAAGCACAGACTGGGGTGGGTCAAGCT